AAAGGTGCTTGAAAGTCCTTGAAAATCTTTGAAAAATGTTTGAAGGACCTTTGAAAGCCTTTGGAAGTCTTTGAAAGATTGTTGAAAGATCCTTGTAAGTCTCTGAAAGATCTTTCAAACATTTTTGAAAGTTTTTGAATTTTTTTCAAAGACCTTTTAGACTCTTCGAAACTCTTTGAAAGATCTTAGACAGATATTTGAATAATCTTTTGATTTCTTGGAAAGCCTTTGAAAGATCTTTGAAAGACCTTAGAAAGATGTTTGAATGATCTTTCAAAATCTTCAAAAGCCTTTAAAAGATCTTTGAAGCATTTTTTCAAAGCCTTCTAAAGTCTTTGAAAGGTGTTGAAAACTCTTTGAAAGTCTTAGAACGACCTTTGATAGATCTTTGAAGCATTTTTTCAAAGTCTTTTAAAGTCTTTGAAAGGTCTTGGAAAGTCTTTGAAAGATCTTTGAAGCATTTTTTCAAAGTCTTCTAAAGTCTTTGAAAGGTCTTGGAAAGTCTTAGAAAGGTCTTTGAGAGTCTTAGAACGACCTTAGAAATATCTTTGAAAATCTTTGAAAGATGTTTGAAAGTCTTTGAAATTCTTTGATAGTCTTTGAAAGATCTTCGAAATATCTTTCACAGATCTTTAATGCGACCGGATGTGGGCTTTGTAAATGGAACGGAAATGGGTGCTTTATAACCGGGATCCGGCGGTTGGGAAGAAACACCGGAACCTTTGTTCGGAACCGTGCTGGAAACGGCAGGTATACAGCTCGGATCCGGTTAGCGTGCTATAAAATCGGAAACTTGGTCAGGAACCGGAGCGGAAACGACAACCGTATCCGAACATTGCATCCTGGTGCAGAAATTAGCGGGAACTAAGCAGGATCCGGAAGCCGGATCCGATTTTGGAATACTGCTTCCATGAAATGGCCGGAATTACGCAGGATCCTATCGTTTCCTGCCGTACATCTTTGACCTGGGTTGCCTACCTAATGCTTTTCAAATTTTTGAAACTTATATAATCTACTAGTGGACACTTTCTTTGATGTAAATCACGCAACACGTCGCCAAGATATATATTGCCTAGAGGTAGAAAAAGAATTTTACCAAGAAAATTCCATTTTTTACTTTTTTTGAAAATCATCGATTTTATAAGTTGTATATCTCGGCACTAGCACAGCGAAAAAAATCTTTTTTTTTACTAGTCGATAGCTCATGAAGTTTACTACAAATAGTGCTCTTAGAGGTTTTGAATTCTGTGCTTCCTTTATTTTCTGCAATCGTTCTACAAATGGTCATTCCAGTGACCAAGGGGGGGGTAAAGGGTTAAGCAAGTATATAAAAGTCTAATATTTTAGGTATGTACCTAACTCGACTAGGCCCGCTCACTGTCAAAAGATATGGGTGATCGTGGATGATCGTGGGTGATCGTGGGTGATCGTAGGTTGGAAAAAACAGTGTGCATTGGGAATGACTTTTATTTTTCAACCATTTTGGGTGATCGTGGGTGTTCGTAGACTCAGCTCACCGAGCTCTATCTACTGATGGTATCACCTTCCGATTTGGGGGTGATCGTGGGTGATCGCGTCTTTTACAAGTACCCGAAAAAAAGAAACAAATTAAGACAGAGAAGGTGACGCCATCTATCATGCTAGTTGTTCTGCTAATAGCCCTAATACCGAGTAGCAATAGCACGAATGCTTTTAGATAATTTATATACATAATCAATCCTAGCTACCAACAAAATGTGAGCTCGAATGTGTGAATCACTTGGGAATGTTGTCTCATCAAAAACAAGAGAGTAAAGTACAAAAAACGATACGAAACTTAAATCAACGTTATAAAGATACAAGAATAAAGAAAAGAAAAAGAATTCGCCACAGTATACCAATAGCAAAAAATAACTAGTCACAGTCATTTCATTGTATCACGTGGCTGAATATGGAGGTGGCGGTTGTATGATGTTTTGCACAATGGTGACTCTCGCACTAAAATGTTCTGTCGCCATTCTTTTCACACTTTTGCTCGTTGTATCTCGATCAGCTTCACATTTGTCTAATGCGGAGTTACAATCGACCGAATAGACTCAAAAGTTTTTATGCCTCGTCAATATTTTGATATCGATTGTGTGGCATCTTTAAACTTCTTCAATATTTTTTTTCTGACTAATTGAAATGAGGCTATCTTTTCGAATTTAAAATAAATCAAAATAGGATTTAAGGAAATTGACAATCTATACCGTATATGAAAAACTGGAATCTAATTTTCTAAAACTGGTCATATTGATATATGATAATTAACAAATACAATTTTTGGAATTTTCGTTCGCTTTCGATTTCACGGTTAAAAAAGATAATTGAATTATGAATGATAGGTATTTTCCATCAGTATCTCTTACTTTAGTGTTATAATCTTTGTGCAAATAGGAGTTCTCGATAACGCACATCATCATTTTGAATTACTCGAATGTATGTGTAAGTGTACACGTAAATTCAAATGTTGAAGAACAATAACATATACTTGAGTCTAAGTTAAGATAACTTGGCGAGAATGATTGGTAAAGTTGCACAATATCAAAAATGAAAATGTCGAAAAGCAATATGTCTAAAATTGTAAATTTTGAAACAATGAAATTCGAACCTTCTACAAATATTTCATGACCAAATCATGATAGAACACCGAACGTACAACCTAACAGTGTGAGTCAAGGCGAAATCTGTAAAATCTACTTTATTACTGAAGACTTAAGAATTAACTATTTTCGACATTTTGCCACCTATTCTAATGATTGACCGATAACAACATTACTTTGATATCGTTTCTTTAGGTTGGCTATTCTAGTAACGTTAAGTGTCTCCGATAATAGAATTTGAATGATTCAATAATTCGACTACTATCAAGTGTTTCCCTCAGAAAGCTGATTTTTGAGTTTGACATTCGTCTATGGATTCAATTTTCGTTCTCGACAAACTTAACATTGAAATAATACTCGGCTTCTTGATGATAACTGCAATAGCGACTAGTATAAAACGAATAATACGTATGGAAATAGAAAACTTCTTCCTCCGAGACAACACCAGTTATTTAGTTGAGGAATATTTAAAGTATTGTCGTTATAACTTTTTCCCAGCACATACTTTTCCGAAACTATTCGCGTCAGTCAATAGAAGACACTTTGCACTAATTTTGATCTAAACAACATCTTTTTATCACGTAAAATGATAAAGAATGAACGAAAACAAAATGAATTTTGTTTTAAAGTTTGATTCAAATTACTCAGACGACTATATTTAATAAATGAAAAGTAATAAAAACAATTTTGATGCTCTTTTAGGTGAAACCTTACCTTCTGTTACAGTTCTCTACTAATAAAACTAATAATATACAAAATAGAATAGGGTAACACAATGTATTTGCAGCATCAATTTTAATTCTTTCAATTTACTTCGTAAGAGCTACAGTAAAAATTATTTCAATATTAAAGATATGTCGCAAGCAACATTTATCAATATATACTAAGAAAAATATTGCCATCATAATAGAAATAAAAATATCTATCCAGAATGATTGAACCCTCGTACAATTGCAGACTAACAATTGAATGATATTACCAGAGAATAAAATCTACTCTTCAATCGTTGATAGTGCAAAATAGATCAAATTTGGAAAACCAATAAAAACTATCAATATTTTGGTCACATTCATCAGAAAATATGCCTATGTTCATCGAATACTTGAAATTTATAAAAGAAAATCTTAATAAAAACGAATTAACATATCAAAATACAATGACTCAATAATATAAATTTAAAAATGACGAACAGATCACAGCTATGTGGTAGTTGTCTGTATTTGATTGATAGTTCACAAAGAACATCTTTCTAAAATGATGAGTATCATTTATTTTATTAAAAAGAATATATACTGTGCACCGCAAAGGTTTCCCCCCCCCCCCTTTGTATATTTTAGTTTTTATCACTAGACCTTTTTAATTTATTAACTTCCTATATATAGAAAGAAAGCCCAGAACGCGCTGCATCTAATGATATACTTACATTGAACAATAAATACAGTTTGAAGTATGAAAAGTGTATTTGAAAAAGACGTGACAATTTTTGTAGTAAAAGAAAAATGTCACGTCTTTTTCTAATACACCTTTTATACTTCAAACTGCATTTGTTGTTCGATGTAAATATACCATTAGATGCAGCGCGTTCTGGGCTTTCTTTCTATATATAGGAAGTTAATAAATTAAAAAGGTCTAGTGATAAAAACTAAAATATACAAAAGAGGGGAAAAGCTTTTGAGGTGCATAGTATATAAGAATGATTCTACCGTATTATGTAATACGTTCACATCGACTTTCTTCAAATCGATTTTAACCTTTATAGTCGTGTAGAGCATAGTCGATTTACTAATCATTATGATAAAAGTTTCATCAAAACTTCTTTAGATTAAGAGATTCAAAATTCACTAGATTATAGCAAAATATTGATGCAGTAATGTTATCAGTATGCGAGATAAAGTTATATTGTACTAGAAAAGAACATTTTTTAAATATCCATTAACGTATCGAACATATAGGCATGAGTCAAAAAGTATATTTATTTATCTCTTTTCTTTTATTGGATTAGATGCTTTATTTGAATTTCCGGACACTCCTTTTGTTCCCTGTTTATCAAGATATAGGAGGTATATGAGGTATAGGATATACAATAAAGTGCAAAAGTTTTTGCCCTCAGTATTTCAACTATTTATTAGCAGAGAAATGATGAATAAAAATACTAAATATATACAAAGATAAGGTATAGTTCAAGGTACAAAAGTATTACATTTAATAATTAATTCTCTCTCCTTTCGATTTAATTAATGCTAAACATCTTGATTTCATCGAATTTATCAAATGATTTAGGACGACCACATCAATGTTAACCCATTCTTCATGTAAAAACTTGTTTAATTCTTCGAGATTTGTTGGTTTTCGTTTCTCCACACGACGTTTGATAATTGATCATAAATTCTCCGCTGGATTTGCATCGGGACTATTTGAAGGCCAGTCAATTACTTCTGGTGCTTCACTAGATAAGAATTGCTGAGCCACTCGACTTTTATGTTTAGGATCATTGTCCTGTTGCAGTCGCCATCGTCGACCAAATTGCTTTCTTGCATTAGAAATGAGATGATCTGGAAGAATTTGAACGTAGTAGGAGCCATCCATAATTGTTTCAAACGAATGATAACCAATGAGGCCCTTGATGCTGATGCCTCCCCATACCATAATCTTCTGCTTGTTTTTTGGAATTCGTTTGACTTCAGCACTTGGATTTCGTGACCATCTACGAATGGTATTACGAAACAACTGGCAGCAAGTTTCATCAGTAAATATAGTCCGACTCCAATCATCATCTTTGTGTTGGATTGCCCATTGAACACGTGCATCCTTGTGTTCCTGTGTCAGCATTGGAGTACCATAGGGCAAAGTACTCTTGTAACCCATTCGTTTGAGTTGACGTTGAACCGTCCATTGGGATACGTTCAAACTTCGGTTATGGAGTAGTTTTTGTGCCAGTTCTTTTGATATTGCTTCGTTGTTTCGCCTAATTCATTGGCCAAGTGCTTTACTGTCGCTCGCAGTAATCTCGCGAGGTCGACCTTTACGTGGTCGGTCTTCAATTGTACCTTGTTGTTTAATCTTCGTGATATTATATTTGACAGTTCTAAGAGGAATCTTTGTTATACGAGATATTGCAGCTGGAGATCGTTGGCCACTATTCCAAAAATGTAAAATGGCTGAGCGTCTTGTTTTCATTGAATTTGATTTTCGTTGTTGAGACATTTTTTTCAAATGGAAATGATATTTCTGACAAGTCTCTTTATACACAGCTATATATATACCTCTCCTTATATATAAGAATGTTCTCGAAAATTCTTTCGAGAAACTTCAAGAAATGTACTCTCAAGAAGTTGACCTATATATGGGACAAAGACTTTTGCACTTTACTGTATAAGGAGGTATAGGAGGTATAAGAGGTATAAGAGATATAAGAGGTATAGGAGGTATAGGAGGTATAAGGAGGTAGGGGAGGTATAGAAGGTCTAAGGATGTATAGGAGGCATGGAAATTGATTTTTTCGAGCAAGGTTTGGCAAATAGCAGCAACGAGCAAGATTTGGCAAGTGGCAGCAGCGAGCAAGGTTTAGCAAGCGGCAGCAACGAGCAAGGTTTGGGAAGTGGCAGCAATATATATTTTATGAATAGATATTTAATTTAAACATCATTGAACGATCAGCTGTACCAATTAATCAATATCTCCAATATCTTCTATACTTTCCTATACGTCCTTATACCTCCTATACCTCCTATATCTTGACTAATAGGAAAGAAAAGGGGTGTCCGGAAATTCAAATAAAGCATCATACGAACCGCTCTTATCTATCCACATTATATTCGCTCAAAAACCACGTTCAATGTTTTCAAATCGTCTATAGTTACTCGTATTCATGTTCAGACGCATGTAGTAATTATCTGATGATTATTATATCTTTTAGCTTTGATTGCATTTTATATGCGAGTAGATGGTTGAATAGTGAAGCAGTTGATCAATAAAGCAAAGTAAATATGTTCTAATATTTTCTCTGGAAAAAATCCGACGTATCCATTTATGTTTACTACCCGAGTTCCGTTTTTATAATAATTTTTTCAAATTATTTTATGATAATTAGAAGTTTTATTAATTATTATTTTGTTGATTTCAATGATGCAATTTACTTGAACTACGTCGGATTGTTAATGGTAGAAAATATTTCTTATGAAGAAAGTTGTGTTTGTATTTTATTTAGAAATATAAAATAAGGTTGATGATCGTCATCGGTAGATAATAAATTCTCTTCTGTATTTAATTTATTTTCTTGAAAAATAAATTCGATATATTGATTAATATTTGGCAAATAATCTGATCGAATGCGTATCTCGATATCATTTTGTTGTCCTGTTAGTTGATCAATATCTGTTTTCCAATCGAATAAACTTGCACCAGTACTTGATGCAAATGGATTTAATTCAATAACGACACATTCCAGTTCATTAGATAATTTATTTTCAATTAATCCTATATCAATAACGTAACTAAAATATTTCTCTTTAAATGGATATAAAAGTGGTTTTATTTTTTGTTGCCAATATTCAATAATTGTAATTTTTATTTGTTGAACAGTTAAATTATTTTGAAGTTGATAAAATTTACAATAATGATTATATTGTGATATAGCAGTTAAATTCGATTGATAAACAAAACAACGAAATTCCATTGATGGATCTAATAAATAATTCCATTCACGAATTATTATATTTGTATTCCAATCGTGAAGTTTGATATTATTAATATTAGCGATCTTATTATCTTGCACTTGTTGACAATCGAGTGCTTCTAATAAATCAATGAAAACTCTTTCACTCGATAGAATTATATTCAATGCTTCAAATTCATTCGTTACTTTTAAACAATGAAATTGAGCATAAGAGTAAGCAATCAATTCCATATTTGCTTTACTCTCAATTGAATGATATTCATTTGGATATTTATCTTCTAGCATCTGTAATTCTTGATGATATAATTGAATTAATTTTTGTGAATCTAAGGAAGTTCCATCTTTTGGACTTCGTGAACTTAAACGAATAAAAGTACCATTAATTTGAAATTGATTAGTTTTTGAATTAAATATTTGTTGATTTAACTGACGTTGTACAGATTGAATCAATTGTATATCGGTAGAATTCAATAAATTTTTAGAATTATAACGTGTTTGATAATAATTAACAAAAGCTCGAGCAATTGATGGAGAAATTGGAATGAATTCAGTATAAAATGTTTGATCTTGCAAAATCTTATACCAGGCTTCAACATCAAAATGAATATGTTCACATCGCTTTAATAATTTATGCTCATAAAACTCTGTCGACATATTAAAAGTGTTGTCTTCATTAGTTTTAGCAGCAGATTTCGAATCATTGTTGACTCTATCTCTTTCTGTTGAACTTCCATTTTGTCCCATTATTGTTGATTACAACTTAACTTCAGAAGATATAGTTACAATGAATACGCAAACTAACACAGATATTTTATCGAATGACATAAAAGTTGCAATATCTTACTTATTTTCACACATCTTATTCATCAAAATGAGTCATGTCTATTTGCATAACGGTGTTAGTTTTTGTTGTTGTTGTTTTTTTTTACCTTAATCGCTAAATGGTAATAATAGTTTTTATGAATCATATGACATACGAATTTTTTTTCATATGATGACTTTACTTGAATAGAATCAAACAGCCCTCATATTTATATGAATAATGTACACTATTATCAGAATGAAAAATATTCCTATAGAATTTTGATCTACTTTTCAAAAGTAGATGTCATTAATGTGAACTATTTATTGTAAGTATTCGAAAAAAAGTATTGCCATATGTATTTTCTCTTCTAAGATGGAAATTCTAGTTCTTTTTTTTGTAGCTAAATGTCATCTTGTATCTATCAAAGAGAAATCAATTACTTTTCACTCCCTCTTCAACATATTTTGCTCTTTCTGGTTAATTTTCTGTATTTGACGAAGCGACGATCATTAGTTTTGTATCAATCCATTTCCACTTCAGAAAGCTGTTCATTTGTGCTCATGATTGTTAATCACTTTATCATAGATGTCCTTTGATTGACAACAATCAACCCGTTTGTGATAGCTACGATTACTCAAAAGTCATTACTAAATCAAATCAATTTCGTTTTAGGATGTGAATGTAAGGCAGAAGATCTTCTATTCAGTTACACTAGCATTCTAATTATGATTTGAAGTAGTTCATTAATGTAGTTATCACAACCAAGTTTAATGGTAATATTTACTTCAACATATTTAAAGTTTTATAAAGAAATCCATACTTGGATATTTGTTATATATTCGAGTGGACAGAGTAGTGAAACAATGCTGTGAACTAATACTGTTTTCTTCTATCAGACATTAACCAATGAAATTAGATCGTTAGAGAACTTGTCTAATTGTTTCAAAACTAATGCTACTCTCTCGTCAGGATCAACGATATTTTCTGAAAATCTTTTTTTTTTAATGAATAACTTAGAATGAGACGAAAATCATCTGCAAGCAAACGAGGCAGAATTCTATTGATGTACAATAGGAGAAAGTAAATATGTATAATAGGAATAGGCTTGTCGAGAACCTATCTCCATTTAAACAGTTCGGTATCGTTCATCTTCATGGTGTATACAGAAGGTTCTGTCTTTAAACGAATAAAATATGCACTTAAGAAGAGATAATTGTAATTAAATTCAAATTGTGCAGATTGGCATTACAAGCAACAATCCACATACGATCAAACGACGGGAGAAAGTCAACAAATACTATCAATAGAGGTCTATTATCAGTAGCAACTGGATCTGAGAGGTAGGTTTGGATATGGACGAGAGTGTGAGGGACAAGATGCAGTGAAATTGTAGGATAGGATGTACAGGTATTCTATTCACGTCATAGACATGACAGGACATTTTTCAAAACACACACCGCGATTGAATGGCAATAGTGTCAAGCGAAAATTGATTCGACAATTGAACACGTTCTCTATTTATTCTTCAATGAATAAAGTAATTCTAATTTGTAATCTTCTACCAGGAAAAAATGAAATCGCTTATCAATAAATATCTTGTTATTCTTATATCACAATAGAATACAATTATCAAAAATTTGTTTAAGATCTTGTCCAATATTGAGGAGTAATGATGTGAATCTCAATCAATTAGGAGATTTAACATCTTTTGTAGCAGAAAAAAAAATCATTCATATGCTGAACATCTATTGAATAGAACAGTTATGAAATTGATGAATATTTTAGGTAGCTTTCTTTAAAACAAAAGCTGAAGTATCAACATTGTCTGTCGACTTCTTCAGATGGAATTTTCTCGATTCACAAATTATTTGAAATTTGTCTGATCAGTGCAACGGGACTAAGGGTGTGCAGGTTGATATGATAGACAATATATGATGATGCTTTGAGAATAACCGTGCCAAGATGAAGGCGTAAGAACGAAATTGTAGGATGGTATGTACAGATATTGAATTTACTTCTTAGACTGAAAATCACTCTTCCTCAAGTGTTCACCCTCACTTTTAATCTATAATTGTGAAAAATCAACTGCAATGCATATTGATTTAGTTACCTACAAAATCATGAAAAATGATTAATGTAAGGTAATTAAACAATAAAACCAAATCGAATCAGATTGAATGAACATTAACTAATTCAATTTTTTCATGTGTTTCTACCAAATGTTGAGACATATAGACAAAATCTGTTTAAGATTCATTCAAGATCTGCTTATCATTTAGGTTTTGATCAGCCCGTCTGTTTATTTGCATAGCGCCATGCATCATATATAAATTATGTTCCCATTAATATCTAATTATATGAATAC